CGCCCCACCCTCCATCGGGGTGGGAGAGGTGGATTAGGGCTGGGACCGGCTGAGGGGAGGGGCTGAGGGAGGTCGAAGCTGGCCCCACCCCCAAATAGGGCCTGTTCGATGGCTGCAGTGGGCATCATAGCAACCGGTCATTAGGGCGTTTCAGTCGCTGGCTTTTTATATATATAGACAGTTCAGAATTTTTTAAGTTTTCTGTTTGATGTCTTTTTTTTAAAAAATCATGGATTATTTAGAAGACTGTTGCTTCCTTTTCAATATTTGAGAATATTTTTCTAGATTTTTGGGGGGGTGTTTTGATTTCTAACTTAAGTCCCTTGTGGTCAGAGAACATACTCTGTATAATTTGTCCTTCTTAATTTACTGGGGTTTGTTTTATGGACTACCTTGATGAATGTTCTATGTGCACCTACAAGAATGTATGTTCTGCTGTTATTGGGGGTATAATGCTTTATTAAGCACAATTAAGTTAACTTTGTTGATAGTGTGGTCCAATTTTTCTGTATTCTTACTCACTTTCGTGTTATTAATCTCCAACTGTAACATTTAACTTGATTATTTCTCCTTTTAGCTTTGATAGGGTTTTTTTCCCTTGTAGGTATTTTTCTTTGATATCAGCTTTATTGACATACAGTTCACCCATTTAAAGTATATATAATTCAGTGGTTTTTAGTATACTCAGAGTTGTGCAGCTATTACTACAATTATAGAATATTTTTATTAACTCAAAAAGAGATATCACTTGTTTATGGATTGGACTTTTTAGCTATTACATCCTCTTCAGCTCTACGCAACCATTAGTCTGCTTTCTTCTCTCTGTAGTTGTCTATTCCAGATATCCTCCTATATAATAAAAGGGTAATATGCAAATCAACCAAATGGGGGAAGGACTGGTCGCTATGATGTGCACTGACCACCAGGGGGCAGATGCTAAATGCAGGAGCTGCCCCTGGTGGTCAGTGCGCTCCCGCAGGGGGAGCGCTGCTCAGCCAGAAGCCGGGCTCACGGATGGCGAGTGCAGTGACCCGCCTCCACGGCCGCGCTAAGGATGTTCATCATTTGGACATCCCCCGAGGACTCCTAGACTGCAAAAGGGTTGTGGCCGGGCTTAGCGACCCCCCTCCCCAGTGCACAAATATTGTGTACCGGGCCTCTAGTTTCATATAAATGCAGTGACATAATATGTGGTCTTTTGTGATTAGCTTCTTTCATTAAGCATGTTTTCAAGGTTTATAGTTTTTGAAGCTCTGGTAATAGGTGACTACACATTTAGAATTATTATTTCTTTTCAAATTGACCTCTTTATCATTATAAACTGTCCTTTTTATCCTTGGTAATATTCCTTGTCTTGAAATCTACTTTGATGTTAATACATCCAGTCCAGCTTTCTCATGATTAGTCTTTGTCCATTCTTTATTTTTTCATTTGTGTGCCTATATTGTTTCATGTAGATACCGTATATTTTGCTTTTTTAAAAATTCAGTGATAAACTGTCTTTTAGTTGGAGTATTTAGACCAGTGGTTCTCAACCTTCCTAATGCCGTGACCCTTTAATACAGTTCCTCATGTTGTGGTGACCCCCAATTTCATTGTTACAAATTGAACATAATTAAAGCATAGTGATTAATCACAAAAACAATATGTAATTATATATGTGTTTTCCGATGGTCTTAGGCGACCCCTGTGAAAGGGTCATTCGACCCCCAAAGGGGTTGCGACCCACAGGTTGAGAACCGCTGATTTAGACCATTTACATATAATGTATCAGTAAATGTAGGTTTAAATTTATCATCTTTTTCCCATTTGATTCTTGTTTATTCCCTTTCCCCCTTTTCTTGTATTTTTTAGCATTCCTTATACCTTCACTATTTGCTTATTAGTGGTTGTTCTAAATCAGTGATGGCGAACCTATGACACACATGTCAGAGGTGACACGCGAACTCATTTTTTTGGTTGATTTTTCTTTGTTAAATGGCATTTAAATATATAAAATAAATATCAAAAATATAAGTCTTTGTTTTACTATGGTTGCAAATATCAAAAAATTTCTATTATGTGACACGGCACCAGAGTTAAGTTAGGGTTTTTCAAAATGCTGACACGCCGAGCTCAAAAGGTTCGCCATCACTGCTCTAAATTATGAGAATCTAGCTTCAAATATATACCTGTTTATGTAATGTGTTAAGAACCTTTCAATAGCATACTGCCACTTATTAACTCCCCTCCCCCAATTTCTGGACTTTTTGCTAATTATTGTCATACATTTGTACTTTACATATGCTATAAACGCCCAATATGCTACTTTAGCTATAAGGAAGTATTCCTGAAGAGTTTTTAAAAATGAGATTAAAATACCTTTTATATTTACTATTACTTGTGCTCTACATTCCTTTGAATAGATTTATATTTTCATCTAAGTATCATTTTCCTTCAGTCTGAAGAAATTCCTTTAACATTTTCTGTTGTGCTGGTCTTCTGGTGACAGATTCTTTCAGCTTTTGTTTGTCTGAAAATGTTTTTATTTCACATTTTGAAAGATATTTTTTGTAGCTATAGAATTCTAGATTGACTTTTCTTTCAATATTTAAAAGATAATCTGTTGTCTTCTGGTGTGCAATGTCTTTCATGAGAAGCCTGCAATCATCCTCATCCTTCTTTCTCAATATATTAATGTGATGTAACGAGTTTTAGATTTTCTCCTTATCACTATTTTGAAAAAATTGTTTATAATTTGCTTGGCATAATTTTTTGTTTTTGTTTTTGTATTTAGTTGCTTGTAATTTCATAAAAAAAAATTCCCCTCAGCATTTTTTGTGAAGATGTATTTGTATAATCCTAATTAATTAAAGAATTTGGGAATTTTTCTAGGGTTATATTTAAAGACAAGCAGATAGCCCTAACTGGTTTAGCTCAGTGGATAGAGTGTCACCCTCGGACTGAAGGGTCCCAGGTTCAGTTCTGATCAGGAGCACATACCTCAGTTGCAGGCTCAATCCCCAGTCCTGGTTGGGGTGTATGCAGAAGCAACCAAACGATATGTCTCTCTCACATTGATGTTTCTCTCACTTTGTCTCTCCCTTCCACTCTCTCTAAAAATCAATGGAAAAATATCCTTAGGTGAGATGAACGATAGATAGGTAAGTAGGTAGGTAGGTAGGTAGGTAGGTAGGTAGGTAGGATAGATAGATAGATAGATAGATAGATAGATAGATAAATAGATAGATATTAAAAGAAAATAGAGTGGTAACAGTTTATTAGTCCTTTCATTAAGAGTTATTTAGGGGTTTTAAGTATCATTATAGTTATATATGTCTTTATTGAAAGAAAATATTTCCTTCCCCCATATTTAACTCTAATTTTTATATATTATTTTCAACTCTCTCACTTAATTTGTTGAAATATTGACCTTAACTTAATACAAAATACTTAGTTTTTTATTTACATAATTAACCAGTTCAGATAGTTTTAATTTTTGAAACTGTGGTTACACATAGCTATAATAAAATGAAGTTAGTTGTTTTTTTTATCCATTTAGGTTGAAATCCATGGTATTATCCCTTTGTTTAAATATGTAAAGTGGTTTGTTAATTATAATTTAACTTTATTTCTAAAACAGTACTTTGGTTTTGACTGTAAACTATTTTTAATTTGAATTTAATAAGGTCTTAACAGAATGAAACATTAATGGCACATTCTTCCTTATCTCATATTCTTTTTTAGGCTTGATCAACCCCGAATAACCAAAGATGTCATTTGTTTTCATGCTGAAGATTTCTTAGAAGTAGTTCAACGAATGCAGTTAGATTTACATGAACCTCCACTGTCCCAGGTATATTTAAAACCATTATTGTCTTCAGTTGAATTTTTATTGTGGAAAAGACTTACTGCTATTCCTTGTTTCTTTTTTTAGTGTGTCCAGTGGGTTGATGATGCAAAACTTAATCAACTGAGGAGAGAAGGCATTCGATATGCCAGGATTCAGCTGTATGATAATGACATTTATTTTATTCCAAGGAATGTTGTTCATCAGTTCAAGACAGTTTCAGCTGTGTGTAGTTTAGCATGGCATGTTCGGCTCAAGTTATATCACTCAGAGGAGGACACTGCTCAGAATACAGTTACTCATGAAATGGGCACATCACCAGATTCTACATCATCAGTTCTTGGACCTCACAGTGACGATAGGATTTGTGCTGTAAGCAAAACCTCTTTGGAGTCTCTTTTTTCAGATACACTTCATTCTAAATATGAAGTACAGCAGATTAAACAGGAACCTGTTGCATCTGTAAGAATCAATGAAGAATCTGTGAATGTTTATGTTTCTGAAGAGACTAGAACACCGAATAATACGGATGGCAAGAATGTTAAAGCAAAATTGGATCATGTTCAATTTACAGAATTTAAGATTGAAGTGGACTCCACATTTGAAAATAGCAACAAAGACTTAAAGGAGGAATTGTGCCCTGAAAGTCTCTTAAGTCTAGTTCATACAAGGCAACATAGTTCAGTACATTCACATCAAAATAGAAAAGATGATGACATTTTGTGCTAAATATGTACATACCATTTAAAATCTTTTTTAAAAAAACAACTTAATAATGTAATAAAGATTCATGAATTATGAAAGCAAGCCAAGGACTTGCTCTCAAGTCTGTTACGAAATATAGTTTATGTAGCTTTGTAACATTCCTCAGTGCCTGTCCATAACTGTGAAGTATCAAAGCACTTAGGGCCAGATGCACTGTAAACATTGCAGGTTTAAACAAATGGAGTCTTTAAAAAGTCCTTTGTGTTGGAGTTGTAGGTTTTAGAATAGAGCTGAC